GTCATTTGAATGCTCGTTGTTGAAGTTGAACATGTTGAAGCTATCTTGGTAATGACTGATGTCCATGCTTGGTTTGAGTTTCGTGTCTTTTCTTTTCTTTTCTTTTTCTCTGTGTTCGGGACGAACAAGGTTTAAGTGTGGGGGAGTTGTTTGTCCTATTTTTGTTGCGTTTTTCGTGTTTATTTTATCATTCTTTTTCCCCCGTTTTAGGTTGTTTCTTTAGTTTTTAGTCTTTCTCGTGTTTTCTTATGTATTTTCCTTCATTTTGAGTCTTTAGGTGTTTTTCGTTTGTTTTTCCGGTTCTCTTTTATGTTTTGTCGTTTTTGGTGTGTAGGTCAGGAGCTTCAGGCAGATTTTCTCTTCAGGAAACATTTGTTTCGAGAGCATATATGAATAGAGGGGTTCGTTGGCGACGCGTAGGAAAAAACGGCACTCAATTCCAACTTCGAACGAGCTCAAACGAGGCCAAAACGTAAGATGGCGCAATGCAGCCCAGAATCTCGCGAGTCGCGAGCACAAAGTCGCGAGTCGCGAGTTTAGTCGCGACTCGCGAGAGAAAAGTCGCGACTCGCGACTTTAACAGAGCCTCTAGTAGCCCAGCGACCCGTCCAACTCGCGACTCGCGAGTAAACTCGCGAGTCGCGACCCTGTCGACCCCTGTTTTTATTTTTGCTCGTTTTTACTCGTTTTAGCTCCGTTTTTCGCGTACTATATATCAAAAAGAACCTCCAGACCTAAGGAACAACCCTCAATATCGTTCCTTTCAAGTTTTCTCTCCAAAAACTCAATATTTTAGGATAATTTTCTCCGCTTTTTTTTTTTTATTTTCTCATGCTTGGATTGTTGGACACAAAGACATTGGGATTGAAATCTTTCAAGTCTTAATCCGATTGTAAGTTTTTCAATTTTACTTTATTATTGTTGATTGGTTTTATGTTCTTAATTCCAGTTAACATGAGATTGAATCTAAGCATGAGGTAATCTATTCACCTAGGGTTAGGGATTTTGATTCTTGTCTGAATTATGTGGAATGTGTTTTGTTCAATCTATGCGAGTTGTGTGAATTATAGGGTTAGTTGATTGATCACCATTCTAACCTAGTTAATCGACGTTTAGAACCGAGAGGGGAGGCGTTGGTTGATTTAGGCTCGTATAGAGTAGACATGTTCGGAAACGTATTGTCTATGTGTTGATTGTTTGAATGAGTTTATCGTTTAAGTATGTGCTCTTGTTACGAAGAGTTATTGAGCATAGCCCTCTAGACGTGTAGGCTTGTTAAATCTCGTAATCGAACAAATAATCATTCAACATAGTTTGAAACTTGATGAGATTTCCCGACCCCTAGAACTTCTTTTTTTTCTCCAGAAATTTAATTGTTATTTCTTTAAATTGTTTTTCTAGTTTGACTTATTTAGTCAATTCTCCAAATCAACCGTGATTAGAATGTTTAGGATTTATTTTCTTTTCGTGTGTGATCAATACCAACGCTAAATTCCGAAACGTCTTCCTTGAGAGATCGACCCGGGGAACGAATCTTTTGATTCGGTTCTCGGTAAAAATAAAAATAATTTGCTACAACAAAGGGGTTTGAAGATAATGATTTGTGGTGATGGAGATTCTGACGATTAATAAACCACGAATGTTGCACATAAAGAAGTGTTTAATAATATTTAGATATTTCTAAAACGTTTTTTTCGATAATTATGTTATGATTTTTACTATTGTTTATATATTTTTTTTATTTTATTCTTTATCATATAGTTTTATGTGCAAATGCACAAGTTACTACTAGTTGATTATGAAGATCCAACATTTGGTAAGTGGGTTAGGAAAATATATATTTTCATCTCATAATTTTTGGAGATGTTCGAAAGTAGTCTAACTAAAATTTAAGCAATCACATAATTAAATTTGTTTAATTTGATGATAAACTGACCGTTCATTCCAATTTCTGGTAATAGTTTGTTGTTTTTTCATTTCAGTTGTTTTGTTTTTCTTGTGTTGTTCTGTACTTCTGTAGCAGACAATTAGGTTTGTTCTATGACCAATATGGTCCATCAGGGGAGATAGAATGTCCTAATCTCCTCGTGTATCTATATATATATAATTACTAGCTCATGCACATTTAGTAAAACCTCAAAATTTTTCTCTCCAAAAGAGGTTACTTTGCATTAATTAAGTATTTATTTATTTTTATTTATTTTATGATATAGCAATTACTCCTAACAAATCATAAAGCCACATTAAATGAAATTATAATTTAATTTTTTTTCCAAACTATTTATTTGATTTTTTTAACTCATTAAGCAAATGTTTTTATCAACATTAGTTATTTAATTTTTATGATATAACCAAAATTTTCAAAATTTCGATACTATAAGAATAATTATTTCAATATTATTTTATCTAATCAATTGTTCATACTAAAAAAGTATTGCAAAAATTATATAACTGCAATCGATATAAAAACTAATATGTAAGTTAGTAGTTTATCGTTCATTTTTTACTAATGATAAAATTTATAAAATGTGATATGCTATTATCTAACTTTTGATTTTAAATATTACATACACATACATATAACATATAAACTTATATTTGTATCTGTGTATGTGCACATGATCGAATACTAGTTTGTAGTAACTTGTTGGTTACTCCCATTGTACATTTCAGCTTCGCATTTTATATATTTAAGGTTTGTTTAAAAAAGAAAAAAATTCCAATTTCAAACAAAAGGTTGATTGAATTGGGTTTTCTTGCTTGGGTGATTTTCAGGATTATGATTCCTAATGGATTAATTAGGATTGTTTAGATCATGCTTGGATATAAATTTGTTTTTGTTTTGATTTGGGTTGGTTAAATTTGAAAAGTAGGTATGGTTAGTTGTTAGTGGATATAATAAAATAATATTTAAAATAAAATATATAAAATTAAATTGATGTAAAAGTAAGAGTGAGAAAATGTGATGTGATAGTTAGTTAAATTTATGTGAGTAGATGAATAGTGAATTAAGGTTGATGTTGTGTGTAAGAATGATTGATTGATATTATTTAATTATATTGATAATATTGATGATAGTGGGTTGAGTTAAAGTTGAGTTAAAAAAGTGGTTGAGTTAAAAATGTTTGGATTTTTTTGAGAAATTTTTGTATCCAATCATGCTCTTAATGCTTAGTCCACGTAATCAACCACCAAAATAATGATTAAAATTTAGATTTCTTTTGTTTTGTGTGGGAACCAATAATTTATTTTTTCCCTTTTTTTTAATTAAAAAAAATGATAAATCAACTAATTATATCACTTTTTGGATTTTTTTAAGCCCAAGTGAACGACACAAATTGATTCGAGATTGGGCCATGAGACCCACGCTGTGGAATCAAGCTGTTTGCCCAGTTTTATTTGGGGCTTTTCGGATGACTTTTAAGTCCAACTCAAATCCACTAATATCAAACCGGGTAGAGATCAAGAAAGTCTGATCAAACGGGAGATGCTATAAGAACATATGTAGTGGATCTACGAGGCCTGTAAACGAGTAGAGCCGAGCACGGATAGTTAAATAAACGAGTTTAAAATCGAATTCGAGTTTTGTTCATTTATCACTAATAACGAGCCGAGTTCGAGCATTAACGAGTCGATCCTTAACTTTAACGAGTCGAATTATAGAAAATTATATAAAATTAGTTCATCTTACCCCTAGGTGGCTTTGTTACTAACAAGATTTTGTTACCAAAAAAAAAAAAAAAGTTAAAGCATATGCAGAGAGTTCATCAATTTCCAGTTGAATCTACTAATAAACATATCACATTCTTCAGAAATCAACAAAAAAGGTAAAGCATGAAACTTTCTGCCACTACTTTCAAACAAACATTATATGAAATTCAACTGAAAAAATTTCAAACTAACTGAAATGCGCCTCGTTTTCATGTCGAAACAAAACCAATGTTCGCCCCTCTCGTACGTGAAGTACACACAGTTTTCCCCGCTTTTGCACCTGAATAAACTCGCCGAGACCCCCAAGCACCACTTGTCCTCCACGAAAAACACGGTATCATCCGGAAGCTTCTCGACTTCCTTCCAACACAAACTCGACTCGTCCAGCCCGAAAACCTCCACGTCATCCACCACATTCACCGAAGCCCTCAACAGCAAAAACACCAAAAGATTCCACCTTTGTACTGAAACAAATGCTCCCTAAAGTGCCGGCATGCCTTACTAGGGACAGCTCGGTTTTTCCCCAAAGGGGTAATTTCGTAATCCCCCGAACCTTTACTGTACTCGATAACCGCGAGGCTGCCCTGCCGGCTAATGGCGTAGTATTTCCCTCCGAACCCGATAAAGTTCGTCAACTCCATGTACTGATGATCGGTTGTTGAGAAAGGCTCAATAACCGTGCAGCTCTTCATCATCGACACATAACGCCAGTAATAGCTGAATTTGCGGGCGCAATCTTGTTCGACTCCTTTAGGAAATGGGAAAGCGAGTGATGTAAGGCCGGTTATGACGAATTGGAAGCTGCCGGAGCTCTCGGTGCCTCTGAAGTGAACACTGCTATCCCGGGGCAGATCGTAATAGTCCGGTCCCCAGAGAGGGCGTCTCTCACTACAATCCAATGTCAATTGGCGTTGATGGAAAAAACCCTTCAGGCTGTATTTTCCGGTATCGTTAGTGGCTTGGATTTCGGGAGGGATGTCGATTAGGGCAAGCTGCGGCCACGAATGTTTACGCGGCGGCCGATTAAGGTTGCAATGGGAGGAAGATGGGACAAGCCATGACTTGGTGACCACGCCGGATCCCGATTTGTTGACACGTATAAACTCCCGTCGTCCCCAGTCTCTCTTACCGACGGTGATTGGGAAGCTCGGCCGTTCGGATTCCGGCTTGAAGTACCGGCGGCCGCCGGCTGCGGCCTTTTTCGGGGATGGATTTTTCTCTTTCTTCATCATCTTCTTGTCCCCCATTTGCCTTGTTCCTGCTCGAAAACAGAGGTCGGATCAAGAAACGAAAAATAAGAAAAGGAGACTTTTTAAGATATGAAGGGAAGATGAAGGAACTTATGATGCACCTTTGTTGTGCTTGATTGTTGATGTATCAATGGAGATGTCGGGTTTTAATCGGATTTTTCGTGTGACCGTGAAGAAAAATCCTTCGAGGGACGAACTATTATTGGCCTTTAACTTGCAGAGTCGGACAAGTGACGTGGACTTCACCAAGGAAGATATGTCTGCACTATAATTGTTTTACACTTTTGACCCTTATTGGTTGGTTCCATTTTAATTTTGAAAATTGAGATTTTACTGAACTAGATAATTAATTTTATACAATTTAAATTATATTTAAATTATTTTTATTTTATAATAATATGTAAAATAAACTATATATGTAAATTATGTACCCTAAATTCTTAACAATATTGTATTTTATCTCTCTCTCTCACATATACAAACACACACATATATTCACGTGGATCAATTACTAGAGAAATGAAATTGAATGATAATTTTGTCCAAAATATAATTACACAAATCGTTTTTATTTAAATTATTAGTTGCTAATTGAACTAAAATGATTAATTAAAAATTGTTGATAATCATGAGTCAATTATAAAAAAAAAAAAGAGAATTGATTTATAATTTTGTACTTGTTTAAGTGTGGGTGGATGATCTTGGTCTTTTAGCCAGTTTTTCATCTGATTAGTGTTGTTTTGGTTTTTTCTAGTGTAGGATCTCAACATCATGCTGCCCATGCTAGCTATTGGCTTGCAGACTTCGCCTGAGAGGTCTCCCATTTCATCCGAATTAATTTGTATTGTATCTGAACTATGTATTTTCTTTTAATTTATTGAGATTCCTATCGTGTTGAAAAAAAAAAAAAAAATATAATTCATATGATAATTGTCACTTGTGGGCGGTTACTACTTTATATTTTCTAAGCCGTTTGATTTTGTAGTTTAGTAAATGGTTTTTTGGATGGTAATTTTGTAAACTCGTTTTTTAGAAAGGATAGTTACATAATTTTGCGAACTCTTATTGGAATTTTTTAAGCCCAACCGAACGAAACAAATTGATTCGAGATTGGGCCATGAGACCCACGCTGTGGAATAAAACTGTTTGTCCAGCTTTATTTGGGCTTCTCAGTTAAGTTTTAAGTCCAACACAAATCCACTAATATCAAACCCGATAGAGATCAAGAAAGTCGGATCAAACGGGAGCTATAGCCTATAAGACCATCTGTAGTGGCACTAGTAGGCCTGTAATGAGCCGAAATAAAAGAGACTGAAATCAAGTTTGAATTTGGTTATTTTATCACAATAAACGAGTCGAGTTTGAGTTTTAACGAGTCGATCACGAGTTTTAACGAGTCAAACTATAGAAAATTATATAAAATCTCTTTTCGAGCCTTATCGAGCCAAACTAACTTTAAATGAGCTCGAGCTCGGCTCGGTTGATGAGCCGAACTCGAGTCTTAACGAGCAGAAATCGAGCCAAACTGAGTCATACTCGTTTAATTTAACAACACTAAGTGGCAGGTTTGTAAAAGGTTTACAAACCCCATTTTTCAGAGGTTTAGTATTAAAGAGTGGAGGTTTGAGGTTTACAATCGTGAACCAGGTTTTCTAGTTCAAACCTCTTGGAATCCTCTTTAAAAATAAAAATAGTAGAATGGGAACTGAAGTACACTGCAAAAATTCCAATGCAGATATATGTAGTGTGTGTATCTAAACTCACCAAATCAAATTTAAAATTAATTTTATATCAAATTCAAATCAAATTTAGAATAGTAGTGTGGTTCAATTTGTAAAGTTGTAAAATATATGGATAGTACTGAAACATTATAAAAAAATATATATGAAAAAAATAATATTTGAAAAAATATAATAAAAAACGTTATAAAATTAATGAAAAAAATAATATTTCGAGAATATTATTTTGGGTTTGAGAATGAGTTTTTCGGTTACTATATTTAATGTGACATTATATGTTAAACCTCTGGAATTAATTTGAAATATAGTCCATCCTTATATTAAAAACAATATTGCCAATGAAAGTAACACCAGTATAATGCCGTGTATTACACGAGTGCTTGTTAAAAAATTATTATTAAATTTTAAAATTAATAAAAAAATTATTAAATTTTATTTACTTTTTTACAAAAAATATATATTATTATATATTTAAAATGACATTTGTTATTGAGCGACTTACATGTGTTATATTATAATAATTTTTATATAACTACTTGAATAAAAATATGTTAATTGATAAGCAATTTTATTTTTCTAATTAATGTTTAAACATAATTTTATTACTGTAATAAAGATAAATATAAATTTATTTTTTTATACATATAATATGGATGTTAAAGCGAAGCTCATCAAGAAACGATTAATTTGATATATAATATATATAAAATGGATAGAAAATACAAAAATTATTAACTTTTAAAATATATTTACAATTCAATCGTTATAAGAAGAAATGACATTAAAATGCAATTAATACATGTAACATAACCATAAATAATTAACATATTTATGGATAATCCGAACTTAATTATTTTTGGATTGGAAGTAAATTAAAATTTATCCAATCTTAATAACAAAGCATGTAATTTTGCTACATAGGATCCCGAAGCATGCGAGTTTGCCACTTATGCTCAACACGTTCTGAATTAATATATATGCGAATATCCGATAAAGAAACGCTGCCCCACATTTAGGGGTGAGCATAAGTGCGGTTTGGTCAAAAACCGCACCGCACCGAAAAAACCGAAAACTGAATTTTTAAATATTTTTCACCGAACCGCACAACTATAGAAGGAAAAACCGAACCGCACCGGTGCGGTTTAGTTTTTCGGTTAATCAAAATTAAAAAATATAACCACCAATTAATGTTATGTAAGTAAAATTATAGAAATTAAGGTGATATTTTATTAAAAAAAAAAGTGACATTTTGTGACATTCGGTGCTGTTCGGTTAAAACTGCACCATTCGGACAAAAAACCGAACCGCACCGAAATACTTGCGGTTTTTCAAAATCCAAACCGCACCGATAACCGAACTTACCAAAAACCGCACCGAATTGCTCAGTTCGGTACGATTTTCCGGTTTCGGCTCAGTTTTGCTCACACCTACTCACATTCTTCGTTTCATTCTGCATTTCGCAATATGAATAGCTTTTTTAAAAAAAATATTTATTTAATATGTATAGCTTTATTTTTTAATATTGTGTATTAGTAATCATGAATATTTAGTTAAATAAAATAAACTTGACATCTATATATATTACCGTTGGTAGAAATACTTGATTAATCTTCTAATAAATAAAAATAATCTCGATTGGTAGGATACATGATTAATCTTGTAATAAATAAAATAATATTTATATAAAAGAATATTGTATTTAATTGTATTTTTCACTCATATATTGATAATTTAAATAACTAAATATGTGTAAGATAATTTATTTCATCAAATTATATTTTGGTACTAAAATAGTAAAATTAATTTAAACAATAATAATAAAATGAAAATATTCATGTGTAGAGCATAATATAGCGTGAAGAGAAACTTCGACTATTGATTCTCTACTCTAGAGTGGAGTAAATTTTATAGTAGAATAGAGATAAGAGCTTGAAATGGACTGATAACATATCCATGATGAAAAACACTTTCAAACTAACTAATCGACGGAACCACCAATCAACGGACCGAAGAAGAAGTCGAACTACCAATCGACAGTCAACCAATCGAATTCCTTACGACTCGGATGATAGGGATTATATCCTCAAGGACCGAGCCTGCCCGATAAGAGACGAATCTCAAGGACCAGTCGACCCGATATGAGACGAACTTGAAGGACCGAGCCGGTCAAATGTAACTCGGAACGATCCGCAACCCTAATGTCTCCGTACAAAAGATAAATGCCTATATATATTAGAACATGAGCCGCGGTAGGTAAGACACATTTAATACTCAACAGTCTACAATATCACTGTTCATCATCTTCCCTCTTCTGAATCCTAATTTGAGCGTCAGAGGATTTTGCGCCGGAAAAACTCCCGCGCCCTTTTTCACGTATTACCTTCGACGAACCGGTGTCGGAGGCCTTACCTTTGGACCGGAGATTATCCAAGACCGAAGTCACGTGCCCCAGACATTATCATCGGAGTTCATGAGATACATAGATACTCTGATATGAAACAAGACGAGTAGACGACCGTACAAGTGGAGAAAGTACTGTTACTGTCAATGGCGGAGTTCAATTATTCAACTTTTTATCGTTAGGCTTGATAATATTTCTTTTTTTTTTTCTTTTATCATAATTTCTTGAATTTTTGCTAGGTTCAATAAGGCTCGATCTCAACTTGTTAAAGCTTGTTAATAAACCAAGTTCGAGCTCGTTTATTGGCTCATTAACTCAACGAGACTTGATAATGGCTCTCCTCAAATAGTTCACAGTTCTATGTAAATATTATATATTAAAGTTACACATCGAATGTAAAATCACTTTCTAGTTTTTACGAAAAATCAAGAGTTCACAGTGTTGACGTGATCAATTCTTGTTGGTCATCTGCTCGTGCATGAATACACGTTGGGGTGCATGGAGTTACGTTGTTATTTCTCTGCTTTCTTTATTTTAGTAGTAAGGCGTGTTTTTCCCTTTCAAACACATTTTGTTTTTCTTTTCTTCAATTTTCCCCTCAGCACATGTGCTTAACACGTGTGGCTTTACTATTGGGAAAGTAGTATTTTGTAGCTTAAGTGTGACGTCGCGCGTATTGTATGAACTGAATTCCAGAGCTTCAAGCTCCCATTATCAATGGCGATTTAAGTTTTCTGAAAAATATAAATGTTTTACTTTTCCTATTGTGCTTGAGCTCGTTCTACATGGTACCAGAGCAGTGCTAAAGGAATGGCGCACGCTAACGACGAACAAGGCCGCGAGCTTATCGGAAGAGG